ATCAGTCACAAATTGCGGTGGGGTGCAACGACTATTCCGTCACAATTTACAACAGATATTACGCTGCAATTTGCAGTGGATTTGTCTTCGCACATCCGCCGCAAATATTCCGTAAAATATTTGTGACGGATGTCTTCTGTCGTAAATACTTTTATGACATGGGTTTTACCGACATAATCAAATTCGTCACAAACAAAAATTTGTGACGTATTTCTATTATTTTGTGGAGGATTTGTCACACAAAAAGATAGTTTCAGTGTGGTGAATGTATAAAGTCATATAAGTCCAACAAATATAAAATATTTTTACCTTTTTAGAGTGGTTGGTGATAGCCAATTCATCATGATGACATCTTTAGAGAAATTGCGTTAATCCAAAGTCATCCAAAAACTACAAAAGTTAGCCTAACCTAAATCAAGAATGACGTAGTTCTCAAGGCAAGCCAATAGTGTGGAAATTTTCTAAGTAGTAAACGAAGATAAAAAACTACTGAAAATAATATAAAGTCTTTGAGAGCTTAGCTCTTGGAGAACTCATTGATAATAATAATAATTGATACATCATCACAAAATTAGCTTGATCAGGCACGAATCTCGAGGCAAAAACTAGTTGGAGACTTCAAAAATTAAATCCGAGAGCATCCGAACTCCGATTTCAACGATCTTACAGTCAAACTGAGCGTCTCGGAAATACGAACCCAACAACACCAAGATCGACCCAATCCGAGCCCAAATAAGTCCGAATCAAGAGTTCAAAGCGCTGTTGGAAGGTTCAAACCGCAATTTGAGTTACCAAACGGTCTCCGATTTTGACGAGCTTATACTCGAATCGAACGGCTCGACGAGACGAATCCAACGAGCCCAAGATCACTAAATTCCGACATCATTAAGGCCTCCAAATGTCCAACGAACGGTGCACGATCGTAGGATTCAATATCGGCCGTCCATTTGACCACTCCCTATTCGCCCTTGATCTCACACCTATTTACGGACCATGCCACTCCAGAAAATCTATAAATAGAGCCCTCATTCTTCACAAGAGAGGATCGAAGCAAGAGAGAGAAGAAGAGAAGAGAAGGAAGGAGTTCCTCCTCGACAGCCGCCGGACCACCGCCGGACCACCGCAGAACCTCGCCGGACCACCGCCGAACCACCGCAGGAATCTCGTCGGACCACCGCCGGACCACCACAGGAACCTCGCCGGACCACCACAAAACCTCGTCGGACCACCACCTTAAGGCCCGACGTTCATCCCCGACGTCCTGCCAAAGACCCGACGTCTTGTTCAAGGCCTGACACTCAGTCCCTACTTCCTGCCAAAGACCCGACGTCTTGTTCAAGGCCCGACACTCAGTCCCTACTTCCTGCCAAAGACCCGACGTCTTGTTCAAGGCCCGAAGTTAAGTCCCGACGTCCTGCTGAAGACCTGACGTCCTGCTTAAGACCCGACGTCCTACTCAAGGCCAGACCATCAACATCCGATCTTCCAAGTGACACTGGGACTAACACCTGACTCCTTATCTCCTACCGCCTACGGTCCTTCTGACCACTGTCGCCTAATACGGTCCGTCCGACCTCCATCACCAGACAACGGTCTCCGGCCGACTACGGTCTCCTGCCGACTACGGTCTCCGGCCGACTACGGTCTCCGGCCGACTACGGTCTCCGGCCGACTACGGTCTCCGGCCGACTACAGTTCTTCAGGCCTTTGTCGCCTACTATGGTCCTTCCGACCTCCATCAACAGACAACGGTCTTTCTAACTCCGGTCTCCTGCCGACCACGGTCCTTCAGGCCAAACAAACCTGTATATGTAACTTTTACCATGTAATGCAATCTATATGATGTACATTTGCTACATCAATCCAAGGCCTTCTCCTAAGGAAGGGCCTCATTTGTAACCGACTACAAATACTAGTGGATTCATTCAAACTGGGCCAGGCCCCGTGGTTTTTCCCCCTTTTCAGGGGTTTTCCACGTAAAAACTCTGGTGTCTCTTATGAATGCTACACCCTCTCACTTATCTGCTTGTGTGCTGGATCTTCGTACAATGCTAAGACGTTAAACCATATATATATATAATTTTGGAGATAATTCATGCTATAAGATTTTTTTTTTTTAAAATTGATGATGGAAATTTTATAATTATTTAATTTAATTTTAAATGAGTGAAACATATAATTAATTAAATAAAGTTCATATTATATGGAATTTAAAATAAATTAAATAAGTGTAATGCTTATTGAATAGCAATGAGGTGATGGAGATATGTTTATTAAGGTGAAATAAGAGAGTATTTTTATTCTAAATATTAAAATAGCAAAGTGAGCTTAATATTGAAATGATTTCTTTTTCCAAATTTTAATATTTATTAAATTTTAATTTAAACATTTTATAACATTTTATCATATTTTTTCACATTTTAAAAATATGTGATCTTTTTTTTCAAATAACTTTCACATTCTTTGCTTTAAAAATGATATTAAAAAGAGGAAGAACAACTTACTTAAGAGTTTTGAATGATCAAGATATGGAGAAACTAATAAAAACTTTTCATATTATTTGTAATGGGTTAATAACTCAAGGATAAATCAATTCGAATGAGCATGAATTTTAATGCAACTTTAAGATATCAAAATGTCTAAATACTTGAATTAGAAATTTCCATAATTGACTATGGGACTAAGCTTTTTTTTTTTTATGCTACAAATCTATTGATACTAAGATTACCTTGATCAAAGTCAAAATGTACTAAAATCAAATAATTATAAGTATATTTGGAAAGATCTAAAGATTATTTGAAGGGTGGTCAAAGACATTTTTAAATTTCCATGCTTATAGTCAAATCAAGCATCTCAATAAGTCTAAGGTTTGCCAAATTTGATATATTAATGCACAAAAATGTCTAAAATATGTTTTATATTTAATAGGATTTCTGCAACCGTTGGTTTTTGATAGAAATGTCATCTCAAAAAATTTATAAATTGATCTTGCCCTATATAATTAGAAGACTTCAAGAAGAACACAAAAAGATTCCACATAAGAGAATTCTAAGACTAAGAGAGTTTCACAACTTCATCTATCATCACCCGATGTCCATCGTCAATCACCATCGATGCTCATTAATGTTCGATGTTGATGCCAACCATCAACCATTGTCATTATTCTCCATTGATGTTGGTCATCAACACCCACTAATGCCCACCATTGATCATTTTTTATCACCATTAACACTCATAGTAATATTCCAATGATGCCCAACATCGCTGATCACCAGCAACGTCCACTATCAACCATATTAACATCTAACATGTGTTGTTATCCACCATCAAAAGGAATTAGTGTCTATAATCCTCTATTGCCAGCTAACATTAGCACTCATCCATTACCTTGTAATCTTGACTTCTCTGGTGACAAATGATGAAACATTATAACTTTCATAGTTCAATTTTTTTCTATAGGGCAAGACATTTCCTTGAAGGGAAACTCTCTATTCTTTTTTACCCTTTTATCATCCTTCTTTATCTTTTTTGTTAATTTTAACATTCTTGGTTGGATTTCAACATTAACATATGTTTCTCATTCAACATAGAGATGTGCACAGTTGTAAGAGCATCTTTTTTAATTTAAGGGAGGAGAAATAATAGTAGTCATCCTCTCAAGTAAAGAAGGGCACCTCTACAAAGAGACCCTAAGGTTTAGAACTCAAGTAGGGACGTACAACTATAATAAGTGAATTAAAATAAAATTTTGCATTTCTCAGACCTTTTAGTTTTCCGCCCTTCATAACAATCAAATCAAAATTAATATTTGTATCACTCAGTCCCCTTAGTTTTCTATGCTCTATAATAAATGGATCGAATTTAATTTTTTGTAAATTTCAGATATTTTTATGACTTTTAATACGTTTTATCATAATCGAGTGGATGTTAAGAAATCATAATGACTACATAGGCTTTGTTTGAGACGACTGTCTTGCTGCTTCTTAAAGCAGCTTTCTAGTATACATATTTTAATTTTTGTATTAAAAAGTCACTTTAAGAAGTAGTAAGAAAGCCGTCTCAAATGAAGTCATAGACTCTAGATGATCAAATAAGCTCTTTTGTGTTGACATGATATTTTCTTAAAGCTCCAATTTGGAAGAAATGCTAAGCCATGTGAAGGATTCTCATATGAGAATATATATACAATTAAATCTAAACAAATATAATTATATATACATTTTTCCTTACAAACATATACTTTTAAAAATGAATTTGAGCTAAGTTGAACCGATTCTATCTGACTCAACTCAAGTTGGATCCAATTCAAATATGACTCTTTCGTAAGTTCATTGACTTTGGTCAAAACAAAAATCGGTGTCTCTTAAGAAAATTTTGTAGTCTTATAATTTAATATTTTTAATAATTTTTTGAATTAAATTGATGTTGAAATGATTAAATCAAAATGAGGTACAAAATCCTTCCAAGATCCTTACTCCTAAAATAATTTGGCTTATCTAAATAAATATAGAACTGTTATTCATTTAAAGCTTATCCAAATTCAGATATGAACATAAATGTGCATCAATAGTACATAAAATAACTACCATTATTATGAAAATGAATACCAATGAGAATGTATAAAAATACTTGCAGTTCATACTTTTTATTAAAAATATTATTTAATAATAGTAATTAATTATATTTAAAACAAAAAAATAAATATTTATCAGATTTTATGACATATTCTAATAAAAATTTTGGAGTTTCTGAAAATTTTAATTCAAAATTAAAATATTATTCTTATTTATAATTTATACTAAAATTTGTATATTTGATTTTTAAGATTTTTTTTAATAGTACTAATTTAGTTTTAAATCAGAAAATCACCGACAAAATACCTGTTTCGTGAGTGGGCCAGCATTTGACCAATCATCTGCTGCCACGTCACTGACCATGCAGTGAGCCTGAGGTCCGGCCCATTTAAATCTTTCACACACCCCCACTTCACATTTGCAAGCCGTTCTCCTCCCCTTGTCTTCTCCTCCGTTCCTATTGCTGCACTGCCAGAACAATTTAACTCGCACGCGCCTCCACACTGTCGCGCCATCTCCTCCGCCCGATTCCTTAACCCACTCCGACCCTCCCCCACTAAAATTAATTACTCGCGAGACACCGTATCCATCTCCTTCTTCCTCCTTCCTCCTTCATATCCCTCCTCCTTCCGCCTCCCCATTTCTCTTTGGCCTCTCTATTCCCCCCAAAAATTTCGTTTTTCCTTTTTTATTTCCTTTTTCTCTTCTTCTCCTTCTTCCCGAAGTCCCTTATTCAGAGAGAGGGAGAGAGATACCAATGGGGGATGTAGGAAAGCCAGTGTTGCAAAAGCCGCCAGGCTACAGGGACCCATCCATGCCGGCGGCTACGGTGCGGCCACCGCTTAAGAAACCTCAGCTTCCGCCGGCGTTAAGGCACCCGGTAAAACCTTCCCGGAGGCATCGGACCGGTCGATCCTGCTGTTGCCGTCTCTGTTGCTGCCTCATCCTCCTCATTATCGTCTTCATCGTCCTCTTCGCCGCCGTCGCTGGATTCGGCTACCTCTGGTTCCATCCTCACCTTCCATCATTCCGCATAGAGAATGTGACGGTGCCCGTCTTCAAGATAACGTCGAGATCGGACGGCACGTTCCTTGACGCAACAGTGGCGGTTAAGATCCAGGCAGATAACCCTAACTCAAAGTTAGGGTTGTCGTACCGCGCCGTTGAGGGGAAGGTCGCATTGGCGGATGAGGACGGAGAGGTGGATTTGGGTACGGGATCGTCAGCGGGGTTTACGTTGGGGAAGAAGAACTCGACGGCGGTTAGGATGACGACGGTGGCGAAGGGAGTGCTGGTTGATGACTCAGTTGGGGCGAGATTAAATTCAAGGTATAAGAGTAAGGAAATCCTCTTTACTGTGGAGATGAGGATGAAGGTGGGGTTTGTTATTAACGGCAAGTCTACCCCGAGGTTCCCCATTCGAGTGAAGTGTGCGGCTGTGAGCCTGAAGCAGATTGGAAGCGCACGGCCGCTGCCGAAGTGTGATATTGATTTCTTCAATGGTGAGTTCACCCCTTGATTTTCCAGTAGTTTTCGCATAATCACCTTGCATTGACTTCTTCAGCTAGTTTTATCTTGATAATTAATTCCCATCAATCGTACTAGTTTTGCTGTCACAGATAGTATCAGTATTAATTGCTGGTAATGAAATTTGAGATTGCCAGATTGGGCAGTAAAATTGTTCTTGGTAAAGAAAAATTTCCTCTCAAATTTTGTTACGAGGATTTCATCTCTCACATTTTTATCAGCTCTGTTTATAAACTAATAAGAAATCCTTGGCTATGAGCAGAACAATATGTCCTGGAAGTAAGCAAATCACATCAACCTTCAAATATCCACACTCATTTCCTTCGATCCTTATCTCTAACAATATATCAACTTCTTTTAGTTCTGTTGGCTTGTCTATCAGTTTTGTTTTAGCTTATTTTTAAATATATCACTTAGATAAGATTGTTGCGCTGTCCTTAGAACAATTGATCTGAATTGACTCCGCATTTGTTATATATGCTGATTGAAATGTCCTTTTACAGTATCGAATATCATAGCATCATTATTTTGTGCCTGTTCTTGATTTATCTCATAAAAATGGGATAAATAGTGTTGTAAGAATATGTATAAACCAGTTAAACATTGCTTTACAACTGCCAGTAAGATTTTTTTAATAATTTTCAAAGCACCATTGACTTTTATATGTTAGAAACTTCTTTGATATCATTCAATTGGATCCAGGATAGTCCTCGAGAAGGCCACGATCATTTAGCTCTTAGAACTCAAAATAAATATTAAAAAAAAAAATAGTTATTAGATTAGAATGAGAATTTGACTCTTAATATTCAAATCATTAACTATACGTATGAACATTTGCACGTTAATCAATATGGGTAGCTATGATTGTTATTATTAAGGTTACCTGATATATAACCTGTAATACTTGTACATGCTATAATACCTGTATATGCGTCCGTACCATCTCTGGCTATAAATAGCCACGTTAATACCGCTATTTATAGCCAGAGATGGTACGGATGCATATACAGGTATTATAGCATGTACAAGTATTACAGGTTATATATCAGGTAGCCTTAATAGTTATCAATGCTCATTCATCATTCAAATATATGAAGTTGAGTAAATTGGTGAAGGTTAACTGTTTGTTTTTCTTGTACTAATATATTTTTTAACTATTTGTCTTGGGATTAAGGTTTCGTTTGGGATGACTTTTTTATTGCTGCTTAAAGAACTTTTCAGTACAAAATTGTTGTACTAAAAAGTGTTTTAAGAAGCAATAAGAAAGCCATCCCAAATAAAATCTAAGTCAAATATTCTCATTCTAACAAATTCCTCTCGTATGTGAGAGCTTCAAGTCGGCCATCATTATCTTTTAAATGGAAGTTCTTCTACATCATCTAGTATATTGACCTAAGAGCTCGGCTCTGCACATGATGCTGTTGTGGGAGTTATAAATTTTGCTTGATCATGATAGAAGCACTATCAACTTATGGGAATCACAACAAACTATAAGAATCACCCCTTCTCAACTAAGGCTTCATCTGGGACGGCTTTCTTACTGCTTTCTTAAACATCTTTATATTACAAAATTTTTTGTTCACAATTTTTTTGTGCTAAAAAGTTGTTTTAGAAAAGGAGTAAGAAAGTTGTCCTGAACAAAGCCTAAATCATTTTCTATGATACCATTTGACTATGAATTGGGACTGTCACTAGAGGTCAAAACATTTTCACACACAAGCTTAACAATTTGAATGAGTGCCGACTATGAAGCAGTAAAATATTTTTCAATGATTTGATATAAGTTTAAACCCAATAATTTCTCATTCCTGATCGATAATGCCACTTTCATAGGACTATGGTTTGTCCATTCTAGTTCATTGATGAATTTTGATAACAAAATATAAGGTATACGTATTCAAGAGATAACTCGATGAAGTTAGTATCTAAGGCATTAAGTCATTGTACTCAGTTTCTGAAGTTGTAATTAATAACTAATCGCCTACTTTATATTGTGTTTTAAGCATTTCAATCAGTATGATACAGTTCTAACCCATAAAAAATGTGTTCATCCTCATTTGTTTATTTCAAATTCAGTGCTGTAACCAAATTACTCAAAAGAAAGACTTTTTGATTGCGTTTGCGTGTGCAGAACTTACAAGAGTGACCACTCCCAATTTTGAACCCTGAAAGTTTGAAAGCACTTATTCTACATGCTAATAGAAATATTTAATTCAAGGGAAATGTAGCCATAGACTAGAATGCATGTATCTCTCAAATTTTTTAGGTATGAAGTGCTGATACTTAGGCTTCGTTTGGGCAGCTTTCTTACTGCTTCTTAAAACAGCTTTCTAGGGGTAGCCTTATTAGATAGGGAGGTATGTCTCGCAAAGCACCTACAAGTGTTGAGCACGAAAAAATCATGTTCAAAATAAAAGAGAAATATTAAATGTTTCATGGTGGTCTGCAGAATGGCTGTCAACTTATAATGTATATTTGGTGTTTTGACAATTAATTTGAATCATTTTCTTCACTTGTAAAATGATAAGTTTTTTTTATTGACTTTTGAGTAATAAATTACGAAGTTACATTATATTTCATTTTGATGAAATAAATAGGTTGTTGATTTTGATTGATAAAATATATTGGTAAAACTAGAATTCTGGAAAGGTTTCTAGGTGCTATCCAATAATCCTTGAATTTTACATATGCTGATGAATTTTTAAATCATTAAAAAAAATAATGAAACTTAATCCTCATATAAATTTTATGTTATATATCACTTTCATCTGTGATCTTGAATTTGAAGATTGTATGAAGCAGTTGATGTGAAAAGAAAATTGAAAGGAGAAAAGTTATAAATTATATATGTATGGTGTCCAAGTCATATATTTTGTATATTATTTAGGGACTTTCGTGCTACATGTCTTGTGTTTGCCTTGATGCATATCAAAATGGAGGATCTGGTTGCTCCATCAAATTTGCCGTGTTGCTTATCTTTCCCCTTACAACTTGAAAAATATTTCTCACCCATAAAGTCAACAAGAATTGATCTCTCCTGCTGCTGAGAGCGCCATTTCTTCTCATATGATCAACATGTTCCTTTATAATTTCTTTTGTGACAGATCACCTTAGCATTATGGAATTTTATTCCTTGAATCATTCACACATGAACAACACTCCCAACTAAATACAGAACTACGAAATACAGCTAAGGCTTCATTTGGGATGGCTTTCTTTCAGCTTCTTAAAGTAGCTTTTTAGTACAAAATTTTTTATTTAATTTTCTACTAAGAAGCTGCTTTAAGAAGCAGAAAGAAAGCCGTCCCAAACAAAGCCTAAGTCTACTTGAATGCATCTCAAAGCTATCAATAAAAAAGAAAATTAGAGCAAATTATAGTGAGACACAAGTAATCATCTAATGTTATAATTAATTTTGTGCCCACTATGTTTATAATGAAAAAGTTGATTCTTTTTAATCATGTTAGTGACCTTTTTTTAATAATCATTTGGTTTGTAATTTGTATTATGTGTTTGTTTGTATTCTACCACCATTGATGCTTTTAGTCTGGTGGGGGCTGAGAATTCCTGAGCAAAAAAACGAGCAAGAGCTTTACAGTGACGTGGTGGGTCTTTGGTTACTGTGTTGAACGGTGATTCCCCACCGCCTTCCTCTGCCAGATTGCCAGTGCCTTTCCTCCTATCTTTGCTTCTCTTAGCCTCATCTATGTTCTTTCTTTTCCCTTTTTTGTACGAGGGATTTCTCATTAAAATATGTTGTTTATACAGACTTGTTACCGCATTTACATGATTTTTCGGCTTCCTTTGGGACAACTTTTCTCACTACTTCTTAAAGCAGCTTTATAGTACAAAAAAATTTTATATTAGAGAGATTAATCTGTGCGGACACCGGACACAGGTTACCGTCCAGAGGTCAATCAGGTGCAGCCACATCATCCAGTACGGAGTTCAGTACTGAACTCGGTACCGAGCAATATTGAGCCGCGGTACCGAGTAGGGGTGAAATCGCACATTTTCATTGGGCTCTGGACGACGTTTGGCGTCCACACCAAATAATTCATCATTATGAAATTGCTTTAAGAAGCAGTAAAAAAGCTATCCCAACGGAAGACTTTATGTAGAAAAAAAAAAATGTTTGATGATAATTAGGTCTCATACTTCTCCATTAATGACCTGAGACTGACTTCTTATCTGAAATTTTCAGGAATATTTTAAGCTGAAGCAGAACTTGGAATGGTGTTTGTATAGAGACATATCTGAAGAGATTTAGCACTTCAAATACTGCACTGTGTGCTTGGCTTTGTGACCTCACCTGGAAGAAGTGAAATTCTTTTATATCACATAAATAATATATCCACATAACCAGTCCTGAGTATTGAAACCTGTCTATATAGCAGTTTTTTTTTTTTTTTTTTTTTTTTTTTTAATTTTTGTTTTTATAGGGTGATTGAAGGAAAGTTGTTTTGTTGCTTGATTGCAAGAGACATGGAATATTTCTTATTTAAATAATATTATATTTTTTATACTTAGATAAATTATTTTTTGGACATTTGAGGAAATGTGACATCAATATTTGTCAGTTCTCTTGTGTTGTTACTGTCTTTGCAAGGCTGGAAAGAAACTTTCTTTAGTGGGCCAATGATAGAATCCTATATATGGACAGTGAACCATAGTGTTACAGAATACATTTGTATAAGGTTTTTTAGCAGAGCTTAGCTGGCGAAATTATTACGTGCAGCGGTCACCGGACGTCTCCGGAGGCCAATCAGGATGCATCATGTTATCAATACACTGTTTACAGTTATGTATCGGGAGATGTGGCGCGTCCTGATTGGCCTCTGGACGGTCCGACGACTGCACGGAATAATCTCCCACTTAGCTGGCAATGATAATCTAATAATAGTTTGATTGAAATTGAATTTATTTTAAGATAAATAACATATATAATTAATTAATTAATTATATTTATTTCAAATAAATTTAATAATTTTAATATTGTTGGAGGCCCAATTGTGAAAAAGGATTTTTGCTATAGTTGAATGTGAGGTTAAGGGTTACTTCTCTTGCTTATTATTTGTGGCTTGCATTTGGTTGAAATGCTTAGCTTTGAAAATAAATCATATTATTTTTAAATGACCTTTTAAGAGGGGTGTGGGGCCTTGGAAGAACTTAAGTTGAGCATTCAATTTTGTAATTTTTGTCCTAAGTAAAATAAGCATATTAATTATTTTGCCCCCTCAATAAATGTATTTGTAAAAATTTAAAAAAAAATAATTTATTTTTTATTTCATCTATAAAATTATGTACGTTGACTCTACGTAATGGGATAAATGATCGTTGTTGTTGTAGTATAAAATTAATTTGTTTTTTATTAACATGTTATTTCATTTTATTTTATTTTTCATATTTTATGAAATTCAAATTATCTAAAGTTCTCTAATATTATAAAAATATAAATTTCCTTAAATTTTCCAAGTAATTATGGTATGGCATTTTCATATTTTTAAAGGACTAGACATCATAAATTTACATCATGATATCTTATTATGTTATCATAATTTTATATATGATATATTGACATATATAATTATGTATTATATATTTTTCTTTTTAAATATACAATTATATAGTATTATGTACCTTAGTTACATAATGTGAAGCCCAGTACATACACTAAAAGGTTGAAGTGGCTCCAGTGGCAGGTTCGATTAGAGAGAGTCGTCTTAGATGGTTTGGTCACATAAAATATTGATCTACCAATAACTCGCTTAGGAGAGTAGATATATTAGATATGAACTATATTAAGAAAGAAAGATATATATACTTAGAAAGACTTGGTTATGAAGTATAATAAATGATATTTTTTTATTAGTTCTAAATTAAAATTTAACATTTAATATGACACAATGAGGAACGAACCAGACATGCCTAATGAGGCCGATATTGATCCCCTTGATTGTGGACCGTTTAATGGTAATTTGAATGCCTTAATGATATCAAAATTCAGTGATCTTGGGATCGTTGGATTTTTCTTGTCAAACAGCTCGACTTGATTATAAGCATGTCACGTTTGGAAATGGTTTGATAATTCAAATTATGATTTGAACATTTCAAATGTGCTTTGGGTCTTTGATTTAGACTCATTTGGGCTCAGATTGAGTCGAATTTGGTGTCATTGTGATCGTATTTTTGATACGTTCAGCTCGACTATAAGTTTGCTGAAATCAAATTCAGATGATCTCCGATTTAATTTTTGAAGTTTCTAACTTTGTTTTGTCTCGAAATTTGTGCTTGATCGAGACAATGTTTTGGTGAAGTATCAAAGTACATCATTTTGTAAAATATCAATTTTAAAAAATATTAGAAAATAACATTATGTTGCTGTGTGAATATAATATTTTTTGAAATTATTTTATGTTATAGTAATTATTTTTAGTGACATTTAATTTATATATATTATTTGTATTTTTTTTTATAATTAAAAATGTTATGCAAACATGGACCTTTTTGGACTTCCTTAGCTTTGGGGATCTGTATTTCCTTTTCGTCGTCCTCTTAATTACTTGCCGAGTTGCGTGTTCAGCAATTCACTGCTATTTTGTTCCCATTCTTCCTCTTCTAGATGATATCCATCTTTCTGATCAATTAAAGCTTCGAGGGAGATTTTAGGTTTAGACCGCGACTCGAAGTAGGGCCCGAAGGAATTGAATGATTTCCTGAAGGATACTCAAATGCCTTGAAGAGCTGGTACTTGATTAAGATTTTTTCTTTTTTGTCTTAGATGTTTTTCCAATTATATTCATCTTGATTGGGAATTTGATTAGGACGCTTAGAACTTTTCCAATCCTTTTCTCTCGTCAAAATTGGAAATGTTTTCCTATTTTGAATTGCAGTAATGGATTGTGGATTTTTGTTGGAAGTCCTTTTCAAATTTTCATTTTGCTTACTGTTTCTGAAAATTTGTGTGGTCATGCAGCTGAGTTCCTGTAATTTTTATCAAGATGATGGTGGTTTGTTGAGCTCTGTTAAACTCTGTTCAATATTTCAGAAGTTACTGTTCATTTACGAGACACTTCTGTCATTAGATGGTGCTGTAGAAAATTTGATTAGTTAGGATTAGAGGCCCTTGTAGCTTATCAAAGAAGTTTTTTCTTTAGAAGTTTGACACAGGGTTACACTTAGGTAGCAATAGATTCAATGTCTTGTTGCCATCGCTAATTTGAGAAACAAACGGGTTAATTACTCAAGTCTTTGAGGTATTGGGGGCGCTTCATATGGTTCATGTTCTTATAAGCAATGCACTTGGATCCTTTACATTGCTCTCCATCTTCAGTGCCATTCCTCCCACCTTCAATGGGGTTCTTCTTTTGATAGCTTTATCAAATTACCACAAAATAGCTAAAATACCCATTACCATGAAATGATCTATGGGTCCTGGATGAGGCAAATTATACAAATTCTTTGACAGGTCTCTCCTTGTACACCTATTATTGTCTTGGCCAACTTAACCAAGTCACATTGTTATTGTGAACTGAGTCAAGGAAGTCGCCAAGCACTTGAACTACCTTTTAGTCATCCAAAAAAGCATTTTATCAAACCCACCTTAATGATCCAGCCGCTAAAAGAAATGATCTACTCGCGGACGAACTCGTTAATTGAAGTTGTCAATTCACCTAAGGCTTCTTGCCCACACATAATGAACCTGCCACTAATTTCATCAAGGATCTTGCTAGAGAACTTAAATGAACTTGCCCACACTATTGGTAACTATCAAAAGTTAACTATGTATTTCGATAAACATTATTTAGAAAATCTTAGGTGTTTTCATAACAAGAATTATTAAGCTTTCTGATGCATCTTGGAAGTAAAAATAACAATTAAAATGAGAAGAAAAACATAGGAACAAAAGATAGGGCTGATTTTCTGATTTCTCCTTCAATAATAATGCAAGATACAGTTGATCTATTATTCCAGAGGTAGATCAGCTCTCCCAGAAACCCTAGCCGCACTTGGGAACCTCAGACAAATCCTAGGAATAAAAGTCAACAATAGCATAACCTCAAACCTTAGACAAACCCCCTCTTAAATAGCCATAACTCATGTTAAACATAATTGGAACATTCCTAATTAAAATCTCCCAATTAAATCCTTCCTAACCATAATAAATATAATTGAGAGATTTTGAGTACAAAAAGCCGATTAATTTGAAGGATATAAAGAATGACATGATTACTTAATACTCAAAAGTGGTTTCCATAGTTTAAATTGAGGATATGAAAAACTTAGTGGATTAGCATCATTGTATCAAGAGCTCAGAAGGCAAAATCTTTTTACCTATAAGAGAATGAATAGCAAATATGCTAATTTGCTCAATATAAATGAGTGACACAAAAAACTAATGTTTTAAAAATTAGTCCGGATCGACCGGCTTAACCGATTGAACCGTGAATCGATCTGCCAACCGGTTCTGTTCATTCCCAAAATCAGATTCGCAATGAACCGGTTACAACTGGTTTGAACCAGCTATTTGGCCGGTTAACCTGCGAACTGGTGCCAGTTTTCAAAAATCGGTTGGCTTATTTTATTTGAAATAATTAATTTTAAAAATGAGCTAGTATATAATCAAATTAGTTAATTTAATAAAAATTTCTTTACTTAATAAATTAATTTAAATTTAATAAATTTTTTTTTTAAAATACATATTAAAATTTATAATAATTTCTTATTAAATAAGCACTAACTATGTTTTTTCACATGGCCTCATAGCCCCCATCACTACATGTGCCTTCTTTACTCATGTGAACCCAAAAACACTATAAACAATAAAAACATATAGTGCCTCCTAAGTGATGTACTACACATGCACGAATAATGATGAAGTTCTCAAGTTTATTGAACATGCATTGTTTTCTCAGAGCTGGCAGTGGCTTGTGTGCGGGGACCAGAAACGAAGGCGGGATATCCTCGTTTTATTGATGTAAGCAGAAGCACGATTGAGACGCGGGGTTTGCGTAGGAAACGCGGGACGCGACGCAAACGGCGTTGCTCTGCAGGTAAGCGGGATTTCTGGGATTTTAGTGGATTTTTTGAATATCTCTAGTTCTTGTGTGGAGGTCAACATTAATATTAATTTAATTTATTTAATTATTTAAATATGATATCAATTGATACAGTCAACTCTTAAAAACCATAATCGGTTGGCTGGTTGAACCGATGATTCATATTGATTTGATGTTGGGCCGGTTTTTAAGATAGACTGAATCAACCATATGACTAGTTCATGATTGAACTGGCCGGTCCAGTCTAATTCTCAAAACCATGCTCTCATCACTTACAGGGCTTCATTAGAATAATTATTGTAGTTGATTGTTTTCTCACATTCCCCATCATCACTTGTAACAATATCATCCTAATATTCTTCATCCTCTTCAATCGCAATTAATTTCATCTTTCTTGATCATTAAAATCCAATGAGGATATTATTTAAATTAAAGGTTATATTACCTTTTATAATTTTTATTGCATAAAATCTTAACTAACAGTTTTTTTAGTTACTTATTGAATTTTCTTGTTAGTATTTCTTCTTCCATAAAAAAAAGTCAACATTGTGAACTTTCTTTTATAATTGTGGTGATGAAATTGTAATTTTATTCTCCATAAATCATACTCTATCTGCTGACACATCATTACTAATCAAGTATTGATATGAAAATAAAATTTTATTTGATAATTCTAAAATTACATATCACGGGGGTGCTTATAACCTCAAAAGCTTGAGAATTAGTAATTTCTCAGAATACTCCAAGATCTGATCAAATTTTAGAAGTTTCTATTTAACATGCTTCGATTTCCAGAAAAAAATAGTGAACTTTCAATTTAGCCGAGGTAAGCCACTCTCGATTACCGACTTACAGATATGGGATCTCCAAAGATAACAAGACTCAGGTATTTGGTTAGAGTTGGATTGCAGAGTGAACAAGGAAAGCCCCCAGTTAACTAAATCTACACTAGAAAATTGCATGGGGAAGCAACTAACATCGATTCAAACTTCCAATGACATATAAGGCAATTGTTTATATAGTAAACACATCAATGGTTAGACGCCAGAATTCAACAACATCCATTAGACGACACTTTCTTACAAAGGAAGACAAGCACGTGCAAACAAGGCATCAACGGTAACAATAGTGAGCTTCCAAATTAGTGGATTGACATACTAGACATATGTTGAAGCATGGAATCATTGGGGGGACTATGTTAGGGAATCTGACAAGGGCCGAATCGATACAACTTGCAGTGATGAATCAAATTCATCAACATAATCAAAGCAGTGGTGAACACATCTTGTTCTTAGCATCATCATCATCATAGACATGTTTTTAAGAAAATATATTAGTAAAATATAAGCCAAGTCTTTGAGTCAACTAAAAAAAATATTAACATGATTTTCATTCCTTAGGATTTTCAAATTTACATCATTCTACCCTATTTGAAAAATTTTTGCTCTAATTATTTAAGTATTTGATATCTTTCATGAAAATTTAAATAAAACTATCATGCTTCAATTAGTAATGGATTCAATCTCTGTATGCAAGATAACTTCTAGAATAAGATGAGTGGATTTGACTGACAAGGTGTTGAATTTGAATTCATAAATAATTGATGGAAAGAGAGAATAATCCACAATATTGATAGCATGTTCATAAAATTAAGTCAAATCAACATTAAAGCATGAAATAATACTAGAGCTTCCTAGATTTTTCATTTTAAAAGTATTTTTTCTAATACGTGTAAGATTTTATATAGCCTCACCTTTCATTCGTTTAATTTCTTAAAGTTATTGTTGAAAGCTGTTCGTCCGGTCCATTGGACCGGTCCAGCCGGTCCTACTCGATCAGCTCGTGCGAAACAGGCGGAAGTTCTCCGCCTCCTGTACGCACGATCCGACTGTCAGGTATGACAGAGCTGTTTAGGAAGGATTTTGAAGGGAGTTATGAGGGAAATTTGAATGTAGGGACTATTTAGAGATTTCCTTTTGGATTGTATGCATTATAGAGTTTGTTTTCCTAGGGTTAGGGCATCTTGAATTTGGCTGAAATTTGAGATCTCTTAGGTTTTTGGGCTCTGGCGGCGTCTAGAGATTTGGTAGCGATAGATCCTCTCAAATAGAGGATCAATTGTATCTTGGTATTTTATGTTTCCATTTCATCAAATAATACAAATTGTCTACTGTTTTCGTGAATTTTTGTAGGTTTTTGTGGAGAATTCTCACTGTTTTTCAAATATTGCTAGGAAATTCTTGCTCCTACAAGCATTTCCTATCAAAAGCCTTTCAAAATTTAGATGTATCATTATTTTATCTCCTAGTTTAAATTTCACGTACCTCTTGCTCACATTATAAATGGATTGACTTATAATTGCACAATTAATAGCTAGTTTTTTTACTAGTATCCTCATACAAATAAGATAATAATGCAAATTATATGAAGCAAACCATAAAATGTTAAAATGACTAGATGTGTCCTATTGGGGGCTAATAATGATTTGCATATCTTAGATGAACGTGAAGCTTGATTTTGCACTCAATCTTGAGTGTATATGTGGAAAAAGACTATTAAGATTAGAGTCCTCATATGAGGTAGCGATTGGGTAAACTTAACAAGGCAGGTCATACCTGGCAGCTTGGCCCTAAACTAACTCCCAGTGAGCAATTGCTAGGTTATGATGATCTTCTGCATAGAAGTATG